CTTGCAGACCCCCAAAGATCATCATGGATGTAATCAAGGGATCCATGTGTTCTTTGTTTACCTTTGCTAAACTTCGCCTTAAAGGATTTTCCAAATACACAAGGTTCACAAAACTCCAACTTCTCGACTTTGTTACCACCTAGCAGGTTTTGTTTCCGCAGTTCGGCCAAGCATTGCTGATATGACCCAATCTCATGTGCCATAATTATGTCTTCGACACCGGTTTCGTGGATGCAAAATCTGCTGAACCACTTACAACCTCGGCCTCAAGGGTATACAAGCTTTGTTTCTTCACGCCTCTCAATACTTCCTTCGACCCCTTCATAACTTTCAGGATATCTTGCTCTTCTTTAAAGACATATCCTTTCTTGTCGAATTCACCAAGAGAAATTAAATTCATATTAAGGTCAGGTACATACCTAACCTCAGTCAACAGCCTTATTGACTCATCATGGAGCTTGAATATTATAGATCCAGTACCTGCAAGCTTACAAGCTTAATTATTTCCCAGCAGCACTAATCCAGCATCTTGATCACATAATTCTTCAAACACATTCTTATTTGGAGTCATATGCCAAGTACATCCAGAATCCATAATCCACTCTTTGCAAGAGTTGCTGCTCGACACCACAAGAACATCAAATGATTCATAATCATCTTTCACAATAGTTGCATTGCCATTGTCCTTGCCTCCATGATTATTCAGGCGCTTATGACACATCTTTCTTGTGTGACCCTCCTTCTTACAGTGATAACACTTAAATCCCAGAAATATCACCACCATAAGACTTCTGTTGGATTTTACCTTTCTTCTTCTCAAACCTACCATCTCTCTTCGAGGATTTCCCTTTCACGGGCAACCCTTCGCCAACTGATAATGATGGTTTTTGCTCCATTCTTTCGTTCAAATCCTTCTAATACAAGGCTGCTTGAACTCCTTCAAAGGTCAGGGACTCCCTTCCATACAATAGAGTTTCTTTGAAGTGAGCATGTGACTTAGGTAAAGAGCACAACAATAACAATGTTTGATCTTCATCATTGATGGTAACATCAATATTTTCAAGATCAAGAATCAGCTTGCTGAACGTATCCAACTGCTCTGTCAACGCTTTATCTTCATTCATCTTGAATGAATACATAACTTGCTTCAAGTACAAACAATTCACCAAGGACTTTGTCATATACAATCCTTCGAGTTTCAGCCAAACACCAGCTGTCGTCGTCTCATTCGAAACCTTCCTGAGAATCTTTTCACCAAGACTCAGAACAATTGCAGCATCCATGGCATTTTCTCCCTTTAACGCTTCTAGCAAACTTTGTTGAACAAGAAAGGTTCACATCTTCAAACGCCATAAACCGAAGTCATTAACTCCGGAGAACTTATCAATTTCAAACTTTGTTGACGACATCTTTTCCACGCTCACCACACCAGTTTGTTCTGATCACAAACGATACATTTCAACAAATAAAGATTGAGAAACGGAGTTCTTTGGTGAACAATGAAACCAGTTATAACAAAGAGAGAAAGAAGAAAGGATAAAGAAGAAAGAAGAAGAATGATTAGGTCAAATTGCTATACTATTCACTTTTTCAACCTAAGTGATCTAGCCTATCTATAGACTAACTAGCTAACTTACAATACAAGTTAACTAAACAATTGGATCCTTAACACAGGGGCTAATTCGACATAATAAGTCAACAATATATATATATATATATATATATATATATATATATATATATATATATATATATATATATATATATATATATATATATATATATATATATATATATATATATATATATATATATATATATATATATATATATATATATATATATATATATATATATATATATATATATATCGACATTACATATTAGAACTAGTTTCGATTACAGTATGTAACCCTTCGACATATTTCATATTTGTCTCCTATCGAAACACATGAAAACTATTACTCGACAAAGATAGAGTTCGACCTAAAATCTTACATATCAATTAAAAATCGTAGATATATCACTTGAGTGACGAATAAACATTATCAAGTGATTGAGAAACAGCCACTATATTATTAGGATCTTGAGCTATTTCACCACTGGAATAAAATCATGTTATCACGAATAATTTTTTGGTCACTTTATCGCACTCTAATTTCCTTTTACACCCATTTTCATTTATTTTGTTACCAATAATCTTTTCCTTATATATTTATCTCCTTTTCTACTTTCTCTTTCATTTTATATGTGCCTCCATTAACTCTAACTTTTGTTGTTAAAAGTAAATTCCACGACAATAACAAGCATCAATATATATCATCACCAGGTCCATTGCATTTTTATAACCTATAAATTTCTAGATGATTTTTTTAATTAATCACTTGCATGAAAATATTAAGGTACACATGGAAAGTATTGTAACGTTGAAGTTGCAATGTGTCTCTTGTTTGTTTGTAAAATTTTGTTCTTTACTAAAAAATGTAACACCACAATGTGTGTGACAAGATTAAAACAAGAACCAAATATAAATAAACAAGATTAAAACAAAAACAAAATGTAAATAAAATAAAATGACACAAATAATTGATAATTCAGTACAAATACACATATGTCAGTGTTAATTTGAAAAAACAAATTCATTTTTAACAATAAAAATACAAAAGTACAAATTGGTTTTAGTCAAACCTTTGTAGTTCAAATTTTCTTTATGTTAAAAGTTAAATATAGAAATAAAAATTTGAAAGTTGTATATTGATTTTATTAAAAGTTGATAATCAATTTTTTTATTATTTTTTCTAATATAAATTTTTTATTTTTATGTTTTTTAACATGTGTCTAATACTCTTTTACTCTTCTAACTCCTTTGAATATAAGACTTACGGATGGTAAAAAAATTATATATGTGGATATCTGCGTACAAAATCCATCTCAAATATGAGATGTGTAGTTTAGTGGATATTGTTATGGCCTGGGCCCCGGCTTGATCGGGCAGGCTCAGCCCAATGGTATTCTGTTAAGTTCAATTCAGCTTGAGCCACTGCCGTCGAGCACAGGCTTCTCGTCGGGTAGGCAAGGGTCCCTCTGCGGGCAGAACCTTCTCCCTTGTCGAGCAGAACAACGTGTCCTTCACATGTTCTCCACGTGCTCCCCTCCACGGGGACACGTCCTCAACCAACTGCCCACTTCCGAAAGAGCAGATCAACCCACCTTCCGGAGTTCACGGAGCAGTTGAACTATGGCAAAGACCACGTTCCGGTCTTCACTACGCCACGTAAGCCCTAACAGTCACCTGGGTTGAGCCTGGCAATCCAGCCCAACACAAGTGACTGTTGCCCCAGCGCTGGGGTCTCTCTATAAATACCTTCTTCCCCAAGAGGGTCGGGTATTCTCTTCTTACCCCTTTTCTGTATTTGTTGTCACTTTGTCCAAACTCTTACTTTGACATCGGAGTGTCTTGCAGGTACACCCTTCGTCTTCTTCTCAAGACCGGTGAACAGGCAGCAGATCAACGGCGTGTGGCAAGTCCTTGATCCCTTTCTGATCAGGTCAGATCAGATATACGTGAATAAAATAAATGAATATTTAAATACTTATTTATTAATGGATATGGATACGGATTTAATGATATTTGTGCACGCGGATATTTATATTCGTTAATAAATTATAAAAATCATTAAATATTATTAATTTTGTATATCTTATATTTTCATCTTCTAAAAAAATTAGTCTATATTTCTTTCTTTATTTTTGAAATTTTCTTTGATGAAAACCTTTCAAATTTCATTCAAATTCTATTAAGCATTCTTATATTTAAATTCTTCAATATTTCATATCTCACTTCAACAATTTCATAGTCTACTCTTCTCATATTTCTCCGTCCACTCTTCCATCATAACTCACAATTACAATATTTTTATTTATTTGGTTAAAAATAAAATATATAAAATAAATATAAATATCATATTTATCCAACCGAACAAATACGGATATTATAATATATGTCACATCAATATTCATTACATCCTTAATAAAACTCCTTTCTTTAAAAAAAATAGTAAAATTTAAACTATTCATTACATCAATTTTCCGAATACTTCAAAATAATAGTTAAAAACAATGCATTTATCCAAATTTTTTGAAAAAAAAATGCATATAATTTATTGGATTTTTTGAAATAAGCAATAAAAATAAAAAAACTCAAATATATAAATACATTTCCCATACTAACCCTATTAAATACAAAATTTTATTTTATTAAATTACTTCTTTAGTTTATAAAATTTTAAGATAGTTATAGTTTATTTTTTTCAAAATTATTTTTATAAACTATTCTATATTAATAGTTTTAAAAAGTTTTTTAGATTTGAAAACTAAAAGGATATAAAAAGAAAAATCAATATATATTTTATTATGACATCTTTAAAATATTATAGAACTTCAATTAAATTTTAAAAGTAAAATTATCGTAGATATTTTCTTATATTAGACTTCAAAACTTATTTAAAAAATTAATTTACAAAATAACTTAAAATTTAAATCTAAACCTCATTCAAAGCCATAAACCTTTTTAGAAGATGATTTTAAGTGTAACATATAAAAACTAAAGAGCATGAGCATTCTGATATGCTCATCAACCGTTTAATAGAAATACAATATCTAAAATCAGATCAAAATTGAAGGACTGAGATCCAACAAAAGTCTTAGTTGAAGAAGTTTCTTTTATGAAAAATACGAGGTAAAAAGTTTTTAACACTGTAAGCTAATAAATATTAAAGAGCCCTAAATAAAAAAGTTTGCATAAAAAGCTCAATTAGTAAAGTTATTAAGCAAATTAAAATCTTTTAGCAACACTGTAAGCAATGAACTAAAACTCAATCTGCTCAGCATTCCAAATAACACAACAAAAATCTTTTAAAGCAAAACTGGAATTAACAAAAACAAATATCTTAAGCTGGAAAACTGGATAATTAAGCCTTAGCAGAACCATGTGCCAAAATCTAATTCATCCTTCTAATGAGTTCATTGATGTATTCTTCCCTGTTGCCGGCATCACCACCTTCAACATAATGATTTCTTTTCTTCTTCATGCCACCCAAGGGAGCTTTGAGCTTGAAAGGCCATAGGAAGTTGTTTGCCTCTCTGAAGTGAGGTCCAACAGTCAAGATCTCGTGAATTAGATCTTCAATGCAAATGATACCATGCTTCCCAAGAACCTGCCAATGAATATCATATCAGTACATAACAAAATGACATCAAAATTTCATTAGTCAAGAAAACACATTAGACACTGTCAAGCAACCAGAACTGCCTTTTAAATCTTAGACAGCTTGCATTCTAACTTGTTCAAATTGGATAAAATATTAGGAAAACATCAGGGTCAATCTCATTCAGGCCAGACAATGCAGATTTACTACTGTGAGATTGAGGCCATGGAAGGAATCCAATTCAAAGACAGACCTGTTCGATGATTGAGTTGTCGGTCAAAGCAATTCTCTGCCTGTCAACCTTTCCATAGCCCCTCTTGTAGATCAATTCCCTGACACTCTTCAGATTAGGATACCTGAAATAAATTGCAATATATTAAGAACCTGAAATGAGTAAAAATGAGGAAAATCTAGATTGTGTATGAGTATTTGTGTACCCGTATGTAACATAAGGCTCAACCCTGTGGAGCATGTTCACGGTGGCTTTGTTAACTTTGAGAAAGACACCATTAAAGATCTGCAGCCAAAAGAAATGAAAGTATAAGGTTACAGTGTAATTATTGTCTAAATATTGATCATGCAGTATTTGATGAAATTGAAAGTGAGCCACATAAAAAAGAGAAATAATAGGGCAAGATTGTGTAGATAAAATTGGTGAACCATCACAAAATGTTCTGTTCCTTCTCACAAAAAGAACATACAATGCTTAACTTCTAAATCAATTATGGTGGCAGAACAACACACCTCGTATAAAGATAATATTCAACTCTTAGTTCACTAAAAAGATTATATAACAAACAAAAATTTATCCAAATTGGCAAGGATGATAAATTCTATTAGGCTGTTCTAATTAGATGAAAGTTTATATATTGAGAATTGAAATGAAACAAGATGCCACAATGTGAGTAGACAGAAAAGTAAGATACTATAAGTAAATGCTCAAGATCAAAGACATTATATTAAACTACATATTCAATTCAACTCAATATAATTAGCAAAAAACATTACACCTACATATATTAACAACTTGACAGAAACACGATCCTAGCACCACCACCAACACACAAAAGTACATTTAAATATAAACCAAGAGACTATTTAAACATGAAATGGTACATAAATAGACTTTGACAATAAATAATAAAAATCAATAGCAGTAATGCAATTCATTGAGTGACCAAATAAAAAAAACAGATCTTTACCTGCCTCAAACGCAAAAGCTGCAAAATCTTCCTTGATTTTGGGTCCATGGCATTGATACTGAAATTTAAAAAATTATGAATTTCCAATTAATAAAACAACTCTAACAAATAATCCACACAAGAAACATCACTAATGGGATTAGATATGTTTGTAGTCGTACATGAATTCTATTCAAACTAGTGAACAAATTCACCTTCTTCAAAACATAGACAAACATTTTAAAAAAAATCTAGAGTCCAATACTTTTAACAATTATACTTTTACAACACCTAAATGCAAGTTTCATTCCTGAGTAGCATACTATACTATTAAACAAACAATAGAATAAATTACCCTCTGATCCTGACGATGAACAGGAGCTTAGCTTCAGGGTCAACATAAAACCCACCCTTAAGCTTGGCTTCACGCTTCAAGCTAATCAACTCCTTTTGCTGAGCAAAATTCAACACAAGTATTAATAACTATACAAATAAACGATAAAATTGAAAAAATCAACTCCATTAAATTTACAGTATTACCTGGTCATCGTATTCCTTGGCGTATTGCTTAGCTCTGCTCCAAATGAGTTTCCTTGTTTCAGATCTCTTCTTCTTCGCTGATTCCTGTTCCTGCTTCTTCACCAAAGCCCATTCTTCGTTCCTTTTCTGCTTCTTCAAAACAGATTCAGGAACCACGGTTTTCACTTCCTCTTTGGCCATTCTACGTATTCAAGAAATGATATCAGAAAACGAAAACAGAGATCGGTGAAAATTTGAAGAGAGAAGAGAAACAAATTCTTCAGTGATGGGTTCGCGAAATGAAATCGAAATACGAAAATTAAATCTATGGGAAATTGAGATAGAGAGATGATACTCACTCTTCTTCTGGTTCGAATGTAGACGGCGGAGGAAGCTCTCCCAGCAGTGAAATGGAGTGATTTATGAATTAGGGTTTTGTTATTCTTATGGACTTATGTTGTATAGGGTTGTGGGCTTTTCTCTTTTTAGTTTTCTTGTTGGGCTTATACATATCGATAGATGTTATGTTAGCACACTCTTTTTTTTACAACTCACATGTCATCTTTTATGCATTTAAGAAAAAAAAACAATTATCTATACAAGAATTACTGGAATTAATATTGTATTTTTCAATAGTGAGACTTATTTGGGTAGACCTCAAGTATATGTTATTGCAGCTATGAAGTGTTATTTGTTTTGGGTCTGAGATTACGGTTGTGTTTTTCAAGAAATGTGTCTTGTTGAATTGAGATGTATGAGTGTTGTATATAAATTATTCTTTGTATGGATTCTAAAAGAATATGGTATTATTTGGGCAAATTGGAACATTTATCCCCTCATTAGACTACACGGTGCGAACTTAGAGTTTTTACGGGTGATGCTAATGTTTATGTTAACTTTAACTCTGTATCATTGTGGCTACGATGTATTGTCTGTTTTGGGTGTGAAAACCCTCATAACTTTGATCTTTTAAAAAGGAATTTCATTAAGTTGAGGTGTATGGGTGTTGTATGTAAATTACTTTTAGCCTTGATTCTCAAACAAATGCAAGAATCCATCAAACTCTCTTTATTTTACTAAAGACTCCAACTAAAGCACAACACAGAAAACCATTGAGTTCTTATTACACTTACTTATGACTCCATAAGTAGCACGATACAGGACTCCGTCGGGTTTTCTTTTCTTTTACTTAACACTCATAATGCTTTGTTTACGAGTTTGAAGGAAATAGAAAGAGAGGGCTTCGAAAATGATTTTTCAAAAAATTATTGAGAAATATTTAATATTTTTTGAAAAAAAATTTTTGTTAAAAATGATAACATAATGTTTATCATTAATATATTTTAATTTTTTAAATATTATAACAGCAAAAATTATATTTGAACAATTTTTCTAAGCTCTCAAAACCATCATTCAATACAAATTTTGAATTCTCCCATAACTAGAGAGTTTTTTGGTGTTATGAATAAATACAAAACCACCAAAACCCTCCCAACCAAAATTTTTTTATTATCTTCACTCAATCTTTCCTACTTGTCAAAGTCATCCATTCCTTTCTCCTCAAAACTCCCAAACAAAATCTAGAAGAGCACAATTAATTTGTTACCATTTTATTATGTGTTATCAGTATTTTAGCAGTAGATTTGGTATTCGGTCAATGCTTGCCTATCGAATTTAAATCATTTTATAGACTTTATTTTATGGTAGGAGGATTTCAATGTTTAAGAATGTTTCATATGTCATATGATCTTTTGAAAAAGATTTTACTTATGTTGTTGGATTAAAAAACAATAAGAAAATCTAAAAAGGAGCGGGAGCTCTTCCCATTAATCGAGAAAACAAACCCATAAACATGGAACAAAACAAGTCGCAAAACAGAATCGAGCAACGAAAAAATTATTAATTAATCTAAATATAAATATTTAACAAGATTAATTAATAATTTATTAATTAATTTAAATATGAATATTTAGGTTAATATAATGAAACATACTTTTTTCATTTTTTAATATTTAATAAATAAATAATTAAACTAAAAATGGAAATATTAACAAAAAGATAAAAATGTTTTTTTTTAATAATTAAAATTTCGTGATTTTCTCATACCATAAACGACAAAAAGAAAAACAATGGTTTAATGCTACTAATGTTACTATTGTGAGTAATTAATTAAAACAAAGTTCAAAATCTAAAACCTACTCACCAAATTGTACATCAACATAGCACAAACATGACCTCTACCATGGTATATACATAATAAGCACAATATTCATCTCACACATGAATGATATTATTTTGGCCTGGCCCCAGCCTCGCGGCCCTGTCCAATAACGCACAGCCAAGGCCCAATGAGTTGAGTAGCCTGGCCGGACACACGCCCCGACGGGCAAGACATGCTCCCTGCCGAGCAGGACGACGCGCTTCTAAGCGTCCTCGGCGCTCCCCCTAGCCGGACAGAACAGCCTCCACGGGTAGAATCCTTCCTGCCAACGGGCAAGACGATATGTCTCCCCCCGCTCTCGTATGCTCCCCTCCGCGGGGAGAATCACACACCGCCGGGGAACCTTCTGAGCTCCCCTCCACGGGAAGAACAACGTGCTCTCGAGGGACCCCACGAGCTCCCCTCCGCGGGGAGAACAACGTGTCAGGCGCACGTTCTCTACGTGCTCCTCTTTGCGGGGACATGTGATTCCCCAACTGCTCACCTCCGAAAGAGCATGTCAAACCCACTTTCCGGAGGCCACGGGACAATTGGACTAGGGCGAAAACCACGTCCTGGTCTTCATTACGCCACGTAAGCCCTAGCAGTCACCTGGGTTGGGTCTGGCCATCCAGCCCAACACAAGTGACTGTTGGCCCAGCGTTGGGGTCTCTCTATAAATATCATCTTCCTCAAGAGGATCAGGTAATTCACTTCTTACCCCATTTTTGTACTTTGCTCTCACTCTGCTCAATTCCTTACTTTGGCATCGGAGTGTCTTGCAGGTACACCCCCCTTCTTCTCCTCATCACCGGTGAACAGGTAGCAGTCCAACAAAGTGTGGCCAGCCCGTGATCCCTTTCTGATCAGGTCAGATCAGTGGCGCCGTCTGTGGGAACAGAAACTTCCCCGTTACTCCGAGCAGAAAACCAAAGTTTCACCAACACTCCACGATCATGGCTAGCTCACACCGTGAAGATACCATGCACGACTTCATGCTCAGCGCCGCCGCCAACGGCAGCAAGCAGATGGAGACGTCACGCCCGACGGAGACCGACGAGAGAGACGGCCAGACTACTTCTCCGTCGTCCGCAGAACCGGTACGCCAGACCGACCACCGGCCCCCGAGCCCAGCGGCGTTCCAACCCGTTCCTGTCTCGGCAGGAGTGGACCCAACGGTGGCCGCCCTCTTTGCAGCCATCAACCAGACGAACCAGCTATTGTTTCAGCAGAACGCACGAATTAGAGCGTTGGAGCGGGAGGTCCCCTCCACGGGAAGACCAGAATGAGGGCTCGAGGAGTCCCTCGCCTCAACCCAGAAATCGACGGTCTCGACTAGAGAGGCCCTGAACAGAAGTAGTGCGAGAGCGCACCAGATCCCGGACGAGACAAGTTCGCGGGAGGTGGCAGAACACTTCAGCAATCCCGACCAGGAATCCGCGCGTCGAACCCCCGGTCAGAAGGCCGAGGACCCGAAACCAGGTGCCCATCCTAAACGGCTCATCTCCTCCTCAGTCACCCGCTCTCAGCGACGAAGATGACTATCGGACTCCCTTGTCCCGAGAAATCATGGATGCCCCTATTCCCCACGGGATGGAGAAGCCCCCGACGCTCTCGACGTACGACGGCACATTCGACCCGGATGATCACCTGGAAGACATCGAGGCCATGCTCGATTATCGAAACGTCTGAGGAGCCATCAAGTGCAGGCTATTCCCGATGACCCTAAGGAAAGGCGCCATGACATGGTACAAAAGTTTGGAGCCCGAATCGATTACATCGTGGAGGGTCCTGAAGGACCTGTTTTCAAAACACTTCACGGCGTCCCGACGCCACCCGAAGACGGAAGTTGTCCTCGACGCGATAATCCAAGCCCCCGACGAGCCTCTCCGAAAGTACATCGAAAGATTCACCCGGGAATCAGTGCAGGTAACGACGTCAGACGAGATGAAGAGTTACCTAATGGAGCAGGGTCTACGCCACGACTCCAAGTTCTACGAGGTCGTGGGCATACACCAGCCAACCTCCCTACAGGATTTCCTCGACAGAGCCGCACATTATATCCGGTTCGAGGAAACTCAAGCAGCCAACTCCGCACGAGACACCCGAGACAGGGAGTCCCCTCGTGGGCACCGAGATGACAGAGCCTCAAGCCAGCGACGGGGAGGTGACCACCATCGGGAAGATCGCCCCCGCGAACAACGCGGCCCCGCCGGCCGATTCACGGAATATACGGCCTTAGTCGCTTCCCGCGAGCGCATACTGGCCGAGTGCACCAAAACCGAATTTGCCCAGGGGGGTGTCCGCTTCCCCAGGACGACGCCCCCCAAACCCAATGTGGACAAATCGAAATACTGCCGATTCCACAGGAGCCACGGGCACGTGACCGAAGACTGTATCCATCTCAAGGACGCGATCGAAATCCTGATTAAAGAAGGCCACCTAAAGAGATACACCCGGGGGTGAGGCCCCGAGGCAAGAAGCCTCTGAGGCCAAAAAATTTGAAGAGCTCCCCTCTTCTAACAGCGACAATAGACTCCAGGTCGCGCTGTGTGTCAGCCGCCTCGAGGACTGGTTCGCGGACAGAAAGTTCGACCTCCCCGACGGCCCCGACCTACCCAGCGAACTGGTACGGCCAACCAGCCAGTAGGAATACTTTGCTAGAGCCATGGTCATCTCGGGCGGCGCCACAAGGAGCCTGTCCATAGGATCGGTGAAAAGAAAGTTCGACGAGCTTATCACGAGCAACTCCGGTAAAATGAGCACGCTCGAAAGATTTCGCGGTTGATCCAATCTGATCACGTTCTACCTCGAGGAACTCCCCGGGGGATCCCCTAACTCCAACATTCCCCTGCTCATACGGGCGCGGATGGCGAACTTCGACGTCAGGCGCATCCTCATCGACGGAGACAGCTCGGTGGACATCATGTACACCCACCTCATCACGACCCTCCAACTCGACGAATCCAACCTATCCCCTTACGTAGGCTCTGACCTTCAG